CCCCGCTGCCTGTTTTGCTTCACTTCCCTTAAAAACACGGGGGAAAGCCACCCCTTGGGGTCGGGGAGGGCCGGGTGCTGCCCCGGCCTGAACGTGGGGGGGTCCCAGCCATGCTGGCGTCCCCCAAAGCGGGCCGTGGGGAGCCCTTTTGCCTCTCACCGGGGGTTTGCCGGAGGCTTGGGCAAGGCCACGCTGCACCCCAGGGCACCCCTGCTTTAGGAGGCTGAGCTTTGCACTCCTCGCCCCACCGACAGCCGTTTCTACAGGGACGCGGGAGCCCACCAAACTAACCAGCAGTCCTGGCTTCTGGTGGCAGTTTCCACGGGAACAGATATTGGAGCAGCACGAAAATAAGGGCTTCAAAGAACTCTTCCCCCCTGCCCCGGCCTCACCTCTACCTCCAAAATGACTCGCTGAACAAAAACCAGCAGGGACGGAGGCTGCGCGCTGGGTGGGGGTTATGTGATTAGTTACTGATCATTAAAATTGGGAGGTTACACACTTCGAGCCTCATGCTGCAAAACACTGAAGAGGTGGAGGAGTTTAGAAGGGCTGTATGCGCCCGGCAGCCCTCCTGTGAGGGCAGCGAGGCTTGGGGCGGCGATGTGGGGAGCCGTGGGGCGTAGGAGTAACTCCTCCGGCGGCAGGTAGTGCTGCTGCGCCCCGTGGGAATGTTCACGGCCATCGGGACCTGCCTGAGCAGGGCCAAACTCGCTTTAAAGCAAGGTTTAAAACAAACGGGGGGAAAAAAAAAAACAACTCCTTGCAGTGCGGTAGGTCGAAAAGGATCAAAACTTGAAGGCGTCTGAGATCCTCTCTTTGGAAAGAGAAAACCTGGTGCTTTGCACAAATTTTGCTTTGTAGGGTGGGGGCCAGGGTGACGGCGGAAACGACGAGACAGGCTTTAGGGGCTCTGTTCCATGCACGCCTCTGCGGCAGAGGCCGCAGGGCCGGGCCAGGCAAATCCCAGACTTGCAGGGCGGCCAAACTCTTAAAGCAAGGTTTAAAACAAACGGGGGGAAAAAAAAAAACAACTCCTTGCAGTGCGGTAGGTCGAAAAGGATCAAAACTTGAAGGCGTCTGAGATCCTCTCTTTGGAAAGAGAAAACCTGGTGCTTTGCACAAATTTTGCTTTGTAGGGTGGGGGCCAGGGTGACGGCGGAAACGACGAGACAGGCTTTAGGGGCTCTGTTCCATGCACGCCTCTGCGGCAGAGGCCGCAGGGCCGGGCCAGGCAAATCCCAGACTTGTGTCTCCCGAGCCTTCATGTCCTTCTGCTCCTCTGCTGCTCCAAAGAGCTCAAAAATAACCGGGAGCCTCCCCCAGGACCGAGGCTATGGGATAAATTTGACCCTCCAGCAGCACGTGAGGCGTTCGCTAAATATCCCCGGTTAAAAATAATACCCTCATATTCTGTACCTTCTGCGTGGAGGTAGAAAGCATTAATGCCACCGGTGTGATCGGTGCCGTGCCTTCAGCAGCAAAAGGGCCTGTCCGTGCCCAGAATATCACCCTGCCGCACTCCTGTTCATCAGGAGTTTGTTTTCTTTTAACTCATTGATTTTCTGGGATAGGTGAGTAGACAAAACCCAGCCACCTCCTTTCCCTGACCCCTGGGGTTGTTTGGGACATGAAGCAAGCCCAGGGAAATGCGATGGGAGCCAGGATCTCTGCCTCCTTAGGTGCCTTCAGCGGTCTGATTGCAGGTCTCCAGCCGGGAGGGGAGGGACATCTCTGAGATGCTCAGAGGAGAGAGCAGCTGGGGGGGGCTGGGAAGCCACCTCAGCTCTCCCTCCTCTCCTCCGGACCAGCTCTGGTTCTCGGCTGTTGCTACGGGAGATGGAGAAGAGCCGTTGATGGAAAGCTTCTCGTAAGCGGCACCAAAAGAAAGTATCAATATTGCCATCCCAGGGCGGCAGAGCCTGACCTGCCAGCTGCCAAATGCTGGCACAGCGAGGGCAGAAACTCACGGCCCGTGTGAATTCACCGGGTACCAGCCCTGCCTTCGCATCTTCCACGACCTGATGATTAGAGCAAATTATAAGCCGGTGCTTTGGACCAACTTAGCTAAAGATCAGAAGGGAGACCGATTTCATATCATCACCACCGCAGAACGCAATTAAATGGCTCTGCAAAGTTTTAACGCAAGTTATGACAAGAAAGTTAGGAAAAAAAAGAAATCCCCACACCTGAAGCCAGCAGCTCTGTCTAGCTGAGTCGCAGGAGGATGTACCAAGGCTACCGAGCGCTCCCAGGGCTTGGAGGGTGACCTGTGGGCTACCTTACTTGGACGGGGTTTCTCTTCGTCGGGAGTTTTTCTTGGGTTGCAGCAATTAAGGCACCAGAATTCATTAAAAACCCCAAACCAAAAGCCCAGCTGATTGTTTTAACCGCCTGCCTGTGGATTTCTCCCAGCTGCCGGGGTGCTTCCCTTGCCGGGGCCATGTTGCGCAGCACCCACCCAGCGGTTACCCAACAGACCCCGCTCCGCCAAGCCTGAAGGCAGGAGAAGGTGCCAAGTGCCGTGGGGGAAATGGCAGCGTCCCCCGGGCACAGCGGGGGGAAGGCACGAATGCACTGTGCTCTGCCAGCGGCTCGGCCAGGGCTGCTGTGGGATCCCCGTGGGCAGGCTCCCCATGGGCAGGGATGCGCAGCAGGAAGGACAGGTTTGGGAGGGAGTAGCTGTGGGAAGAGTGGCCTCTCCGTGTTGCATATTAATGCTCTGCATGCTTTAATTGAGGTGGGACCTATCGCACGGAGCCATTAGCATGCAATGTGGAGGAACATGTATTTTTGGGATGCCTGCCTGGCTCGCAGACTCTCAGCCACAGGGAGGTGGTGGGCCGTGGGATGCAGGGGGAGGTGTCTCGTCCCCCCTTCAGGGACGCCGCTGGAGTCGCAGCTCCTTCCTCGAGCCCCTGAATCATCCCCGCTGCCATCTGCTGCACCCTCACTCTTCCCCGCAGATGTCCTTCTTCCTTCCCCAGACGGAGATGAGAACGAAGGATGAGGTGCCAAACGCGACTTCAAACAGCATCTAATAAAACACGGG